TGGCGTAAAAGACTATTTAGGTGTTTCACAGGTAAAAAGCTCCATAGCCTTGAATCATTTATTGAGAAAATCATTCCTTTGGAAGGAGCTTCTATTAACTTCAGTTGGTAAAATTCACTTTGGAGTAAATATGTCCTTAATACTTGTCTAACTGGTGCTAATCATTCTTTGAAGGAGAGAATAGGCTCTAGGTTCACAGCCTGTAGCTGATGTTGGAACGTGCAGGCCTCTGCCATCACAGGGTTGGGGAATCAACCCTCCTGAATTATGAAATGAACATGAAATAAGACTCAGAAATCACACAAACGGAGAATGAAGTAATCTTGACTGCTGTCAGTCAGAAGTTATGAGCTGCTCTGTCATATGTGAATCATCTGTCTCGCATGTCCCTGTGAATTGGACTTAGCCTCCCATACTTCCCAGCGAAGGGACCAGCCTGGACTCCTCCTGGGCCTCCCACCTGGCCACCTCACTTACTGCAGGAAAACATGGCTCAGCCTGGAACTGCACCATGGTCAGGCACTTTGTAAGCACTGGGGAGAGAGAGTGATCAAGAGAATAAATACTGCATCAAACGGAGAAGCTCCACGCTGGCAGCTCACAGTCTAGAGGAGGGGAGGAGGTAGACCTAAGCTGAGTTTGGAGGTCCACAGCATTGGCAAGTGCTAGGAAGAAACCAAACAGGGCCTTGGCAAGGATAGTAGTGAGGGATGCGGTACCTTGGGTGGGGTAGCTCTGGAAAGCCTCCCCGAGGAGGTGCCCTTGGGGTTTGTTCTGCAGGAGGAGCAGGAGCTGGTCACATGCAGAACTGGATACACACGTGGCTGGAGTGTGGGCTTGGAGGAAGAAGAGGGAAGACATGAACTTTGAGAGGCAGAGAGGGTGAGATCCTCGAAGGTCAGCTCCTTGCAGGAGGCCAGACCCTATGCCTTGAATGATGGCCAAAGGTTCTGTGATCATTTTGGAGACTGTACTGATGAGATGGAAGATGGGATGAAGGGAGAAGAGAGGGAGAATAAGAGTGACTGTGTTCATGAGGTGGCGCCAGATGGGAGATGGGAGAAGGATGATGACGTTTACCAAGTCCTTACCACCTGCCGGTCTCTGTCCTAAGCGCCTCAGATATTCAGCCAATCTGACTGATCTGGTGAGGCTGAGGGAATCAAGCACTTTGGATTGGCAGGAAATGCTGGAGGAAGAAATTGTAAGGGACCAAGGAAGGGCAAAGGGATTTCTGTTTGGGGAATCAACTGAGCTGTTCATTGATGCAGTCATTCAGAATACACTCGAGTCCCCACTCAATATGCCAGCTGGTTCTGGGGACTGCTATGGTACAGTATGAGTGACATACCACGTCTCTGTCCCCTGGAGTTTGAATTCTAGAGCAGAGGCAAGTTATACACAAACACTCCACAAATAATCAGAAGCTTGGTGTGTTTGCAGCATTGTAATTGGGGCCTTCTTGATTCCAAGGATCCCACGGGTCTGTGGGGCCATCTGGCTGGCAGTAGGATTTGCAAGTTCATGCTCAGGGGAGACATTCTGGCTTACCCAGGGGCTCTGCGAAATATAGTCTAGACAATGTTTTCAGATACTTTCACTGCGTGCGGCATGGTGCACCTTAGAAAGGCCACCGTGAAGTGCTGTTTACAGGGACCACAGTCTCATTTGGAGATGGGTTACAGTTCTCTTGATGTCCCCCAAAGTGGAACATGAGTAGACCCCTCTGAGTATTCCTCTTGACGGGCATGACACACAGCTGCTGCTGGTTGGCCAGCCTTTGATGCCAGGAAGCTGACAGGGCTAGTGTCACTGGGTGGGGGCCATATGTCCTCCAAATAAGCACTTTCTTATCCTTCTACTGAGGGAGGCTGGACAAGAACACAAGCCCCTTTCATGGTACAGACACCTAGGCCTGGCCTATAGGCGAGGAGCATTTCTTTTCCCATTTACTCTTGCTCCTGAGAGAGACTTTACACAGTGCAGAGGAACACAGACGGGAAGCCCTGTGGATGGTTGGCAGCGTCCTCCTTGAGAGCCTGCTCCCTTCTCCTTGGCTCTGCAACCAGCTCATCACCTCCCAGGACCGCGGCTTTGATCAGCTGCCTGCTGAGCCTCTGGTTCTTTTGCTGTTGGATAATCTGAAGTTTGTAGTTCTTGGGAATTCACATCCTCAGGCCCTGTCGACCCTTAAGTCTTTGTCTCTCTTTCGTCTTTTGTCCTCCTTGTTCCTGGCATACAGGAGCTATCTAGGGTATGCTGTCTGATCCAGCCAGGCGGGACTGTCCCCTTTCCTCTGCAGGCTCTGTCCTTCCCACCTGCTCTTTCCCTTGTTCTGTTGTCTACTGCAGGATGCCCCCTCCAGCCTTCTCCTGCACCCTCCCAGAGCCCCTGTTTAATTGCCATATCGTCCATGAAAGCTTTCGACATTCTCCACCACCGAGAAGTGGTCTCTTGTCCTCTGCTTCCTGCAGAGGTCTGTATAGCTCAAGTTGTGGATCACCACTGTAGGAGCGCCTTCCCATTATTGTCCAAGTTGGCCTATGAGGATGTAGGCATTCTGTTCACAAGCTATGTGGCTCCGTGAGACAGCCCAGCCTAATGGCACATGTTCTAAAGATCTTGTAGTTCCCTCTACCAGATTGTTAGCTCCCGAAGAGAGAGAGAGCTCTTAGCTCGTTCCAGCTGTATCCCAAATGTACCTTGTGTGTGGTTAAGGCTTCATAGTGATTTGTTGAGCATTTATTCACACATCCCACCACATACACACACACCATTTTTTTTTGTCTATGTATAGGTGAACTAATTGAAAATATTTTATTAAAAATGGATCAATCAGCACTAGAAATGGTGATGCAAAAGTAGTAAAGTAATATTGTAAAGTAATATCTTGTAAAGTAATATTGGTGATAGTCAGCATTTATTAGAATCTTATTATGTACCAGGTACTTTACTGAGCACTTTATATACATATTATCTCACTTTATCCTCACAATTACCCACTGTGATATTACTCACCAATATCATTTCTGTTTTGAAGAGGAGATAGAGAGGTCTAGAGAGGTGAAGTAACTTGACAGTGCTGAAGCCAGTGTTCCAACCCTGGAATTCTGGATCAGGTTGCAGTTTGTTCTTAGTTAGTAATCATTTTCAGGCATAGACTCTGAACTGTCGTGTGGAGGGTATCGTGTACTGGTTTTAATTTTTAGCATGGTGTTTTCGCTGACACAGGAGGGTCACTGTTGTTTCCTCCTGTTGAACATGTTTATTGCGGACTAATAATTTGCCAGGCTCTTTCCTGGTCACTGTGGATGGGAATGAAAAGATGGCCCTGTCTTCAGGAGCCTTGTGGTAGACTGGGAGTTGGTATCCCAAGGCCCCATGCAGATGGGCGATTGACTCTTCAAACAAGTTTGCAGGAGAAAGATATAAGGAAGGGTTTCAAGAAGGTGGCCCAGAGGAGAGTTCTTACAAGGAGAATTTTGAAGGATGGGCAGGGGTCATCAAGTAGGGAGAGGGTCTCCTCTGCAGAGGAAAGAACACCAGCAGATGAGCAGAGAGCATTGACGGTGGAGCAGCTGGACGTAGCTTGGCCCGTTTAGTATTGCCACCTCATGGCTCAATTAGCTGACAATCGTGTGGGCTTACACGTATTCACTCTCCGTGAGTGAGACACTGCTGTGGCTAGTACGACACTGGGAGGTGGTTGTGCCAACATTGAGGGATAAATGGACCATCCCTCATGGCTGTGGCTTTGTCTACCTGCCTTTGCCTTGGCCTTCGGGTAGCTCACTGGCCACTGAGCAAACTCATGTTCTCTTGGGCCATAATCACCACTAAGGCAGCTTCCGAAAGGGGAGCTTCTCATGGGGCTCCCCTTCCCTTAGAGGGTTTAATGGGAGAATTTGCAGGATTCTGCAGTGGTTCCCTTGGGGCAGTTTGCTGAGCCACTTGTCTCTTTAATTCATCTACTCAGTTTGTCACTCTTAGGCAGTTTATACAGGTGTGGCAGTTTGTTCTTGGTTAGTAATCATTTTCAGACATAGATTCATCTATACAGGAGCAGCAACTGGCCTTGCCAACCCCTTCTTAAACTTGTGCTCAGTCACCAACCCAGGAACTGCTCTCTTGCCTTTGGCTTCTTCTGTTCCATTTTTGTCCCATTTGTAAGATCTTTTCTCCTAAAATTCCTCTAGATTCAACTTCCTGTTGCTCTTCTTTAGACTTTGTGTCTGTATTTTGTGCTACTATAACATAATGCCAGAGAATAATGTTTAAAGGACAAAAATTTATTGAGTGAAGAATTTGGAGGCTGAGAGGTCCCATATCAAGATGCCAGCATTTGGCAAAGTTCTTCTTGCTGTGTCATCACATGGGGAAAGGCAGAAGGGCAAGAAAGAGCAAAGGTCTAATTCAGCCTTTAATAAGGAAACCACTCCCACAATAACAGTATTAATCTATTTGAGAGGGAGCACCCCATGACCCAAATACCTCTCTTCCATGAGGACAAGGCTCTAGATGACTCCATCATGAAAGCCTATTTTCTTTTGGAGAAGAACAAGCAGGAAACTCAACTTACCCTGTGCCTGGGGAGAGGTGTCTGGCCAGCTGTCCACAGCTGACCTGACGACGTGGCCCCTCTGTCAGTGTGTGTCCGCACTAATGCCCGTATGTCCAGCTGGTAGACATAATGTTTGGCCACATCCTTACCTACACCCTCCCTGAGACTTCTACAAACACACATCCTCTGGTAACAGAGGATTGTCTTGGGTGGCCCGTTGATACCTTCTGTGGTGTGTGCCAGTCACCTCTCTGAAACACCAAGGTTCGGAGAAATGACCTCCTTCCTTTCACTGCTGTGTCCTCACCACAAAGCACCCTTGGGTTACCAGCCGTAATTACTTTCCAAGTGCTGTTGGCAAGTGGGAGCTCGGGAGGGATGTGCCTGATGCTGGAACTCCCGGGCCTAACTCTCCCTGGCCTTCTCCTGTCCCCTGCAGACGGAACCCTCTGCACTTCCACCTCATCGCTGACTCCATCGCCGAGCAGATCCTGGCCACGCTCTTCCAGACCTGGATGGTGCCCGCTGTGCGCGTGGACTTCTACAATGCAGATGAGCTCAAGGTACGGGAGGGAGGAAGCCCGAGGCCTCCCTGGCCTGTCCCCATGGGGAGCTTTTCTCTGCCCCTTTAAATTGACTCACAGTGCCAGATGTCAGGGCTCCTCTGGATAATGTCCAGGATATGACAGAGGTTGGCATTATTACTGAGAGCACTAAGGCAACCAATCCATTAACACAGAATCCATGCCAGTCCCTCAGTGCGGGAGGCCGTATCTGAAAGTGTTCCATGGTAGGATTGGAGAGGATTTTGTTCCCCAGTGAGGTAAATCCTGAACTCAGTCTGAGCGACCTGGGTTGGAATTTGTGTATTGTCATTGACTGGTCTTAAGATGCAAGGTGAGTCACCTTCCTCTGGCCCTGTTTTCTCAATGGTAGGAAGGTGGTTAAAATTTCAACTCACTGTGTAACTAAGAGGCTCAAATGAGCAAATATATGTGCAGATGTTTTAAAAACACTATGCTGAATAATTATGTGTCAGACCGGAGGGATTCAACCAAATGAGATCCTTGCTTAAAGTCCTTCCGTAGTGCCACCTTGCTTGCATGGAGACTGAGATCACATTCTGATTCGAAGCCCTGTCTTTCTGCCTCTTGCCTCTTCTAATAGCACCATCTCTTGTAATTTTTGCAGAATTTCCCCCATTCCCAGCTCTGATTAATAGAGGAGTCCTCCAGTTCTCTTTGCCGTCTTTTCTGTGTTTGAGTCTTTGTTTATACTGATCCTTCTGTCCCATGTGCCCTTCCCACCTACCTTGTCACAATTCCTATCCACTATTAGGACCCAGTTGCATTACCACCTCCTCTTGGCACCGTCCCCAACCTCCCCAGGGAATAGGAAGGCATTTTCTATTCTCGTTTATCTACTGCAACATTCTTAATGGGGTATGGGGAAAAGAAGCACACCTTATTCTTTTCAGTATTTCTGGTGCAAAATAGGCGCCCTGTAATGCTTGCGGATTTAGCAAATTGTTATTATTAGAGGAACACAGAACGTTGCAGAAACGCATTGATGCTTTGTCTCCAGTCACCTTGGGAAGGACTCAACACCTAGGCAAGAGGCTGATTCTGGTAAATTGCTTGTTTCAAACCTTATAAAGCCATTATCTTTTCATTTTAGAGCCATAACATTTTAAATAGATCACAGAGATGCCAGCCGGAGTTTCTGATTTTTCACGTGTTTCAGGCTCTGAGGTTGATCGAGATGTTCAGAATTTAGCATTTGGGGATTGTCGCGGTAATTTGTGTGCCATTCCAATCTATTCTGAGCTAAAATTGATTAACACTCTTAAAAGGGGAAAAACAAAATTTAGCAAATTGCCGCACTAATTAAGGTGAAAGCAAGCCACTCTGTCTCCCAGGGTCTTAGCGCCAACACCATGGGGAGAAGCAACGGGAGAGGAGGAGCAGCAGCTGTCGCGGGTGGAGGCCTCTGCCTCCTGCTCCCTGTTCACCCTTCTCTGTGCTGTGGCCCTTGCAAACCTGTACTCTGTGCTTATCAAGAAAACACAGCAGATTGAAAGAAAGCCCCAGTTCAAATCCCAGTTTCCCACTGAAGAACCATCTAAGTGGTTCTGATGGTTGGTTCTCTCGCTGTTGAGTGAGTAGGGACAGCCTCAATGGCCCAGGTGAAGGGCCACCAGTGCCCACAACCAGGCAGTTCTCAATGCTAACTCCTCAGTCAGGGTAGTGTGCACCTGTAGTAGTCCTAGCTACTTGGGAGGCGGAGGCAGGAGGATCGCTTGAGCCCAGGAGTTTGAGGAAGCCTGGGCCACTTAGCAAGGTGATGCTTGCTTAAAAAAAAAAAAAAAATCCTCTGCTTCATGGCTATATGCTACTTAAAGTGCTTTCTTGTGCTCATGTGGCCTTTTATGAAGTCCTTTGGTAGTTGGGAGGCAGAAGTGTGAGGCAGCCTGGGCTGAGCTCTTCTCCTGGGAGCCCAGGGCTTCTCAGAGGTCTCAGATGCTCTAACTCCTGTGCCCATGTCCATACAGGTAGACCAGTTGTCCACTGTTTTACATATATAATTCTTATCCATTGGGAATTGAAGCTCCCCTGGCTTAAAAAATAATAATCTTAACAATATGAAGGGTTCAAAAGGACAGTCTCCAGAGTCTTGTTCTCCCCCCAGCCTCTACCACTGACAACCCAAGAGAAGAGTCCTAACACCTGCATAGTTCTCTACCAATTGGTCACCCCTCTGTTGCATTCCTGAGCCCCATGAGACTTGTCAGAACCCAGTAGGACACTGAGAATGAAAGATTTTTAGAGAACTTACTTTTTCCACCATAATAATGACAGCGGTAGTAATAATTTACACAGAATCCAGCTCAACACAGCCACAGCCATCATCTGCCCATTCCCCCTGCCCAGCCCCCTCATCCCATGACACTGTCATCTACACAGCTGCTCATCCAGATCTGGGAATTCCTCTCTTTCTCTTGCCCTGCCTCCAACCATCACATGTGCTAGCTTGATCCTGCTATTCCTGTAATCCTCCTCCTTCTCTTCCCAACTCATGTGATCTTCCCCAGCACAATGACAACTTTTTTTTTTTTTTAATACAGGCTTGTCTCCACCCTTCTCTTCCACTCACCTTTTCCCTCCCAAATTGCTATTCATGGGCAAGAGTCAGCTTTCCATAAAGCAAGGCCACCTGACCTACCCCTTTCCTCTGGTAAAACCACCATGGCTTCCCAGTCCTCGTAAGACAGCAACCACTTTTGAGTGGACTGTTTCTACTGGCAGTTCAGCTGTTCCCCAGCCTCCTTTCTCCACCCCACTGGTAGTTAATCCAGGTTCTTTGGCTGAAGCAGTGTTCACAGAGGAAAACCTACCCTGCCTTCCTCCTCTCACAGAGGTTCTTTTGTTACATGTTCTTGTAGGATCACATACATTTCTCCTGGACACTCATTAGAGTGGATTTTTTCGTGCTGTTGTGTGATGAGCTGGTAAATGTCTCTGTCTCCCCTAGACCACAGACTGCAGAATGACCAGGTCCTGTCTGGTTTTTACCACCCTCGTATGCCTCATGCCTTGTGTGATAACTGTGTGAGTGATACACAATGAGTTCAAAGCTGGGTCCTTGAGAATGACAAAGCCACAGATTCCTTTGTCCCCACCACAGGTCTTCATTCTTGAGGCCTCTTGTGCCTTGGGCTTAGGTGGGCAGCTAGGTGTTTGCCTACCTGTGACCACACAGTGGCATAAATCAGGCAGCTCCATCTGTACCAGCCCAAGTCCCCAGAGCAGCCCTGTGACAGCTGAGTGAGTGCTTTCCCATGACAGTTACAAGGAAGGGCACATGTGGAAACATCCTGTAGATGACATCAGACAATGAGTTGGAACAGGAGAGAAGCAGGCTCAGGCTGTGTTCCGCAGTTGTGTTAGATAAGCGTGTCAGACGGCACCTTGCGGGCACAGAGGATGGCCTCCCTTGATACAGCTCCAAGAAATCACTTCGTGTAGCTGTTGGAAATGGCGTTTCTAAGAAATGCTCCTGTGGGCCCCTTATTATATCTGCTTGTGCTGGAGATTGAGTAATAGGGAATAGGATCTTTATGAAGGATCGGTGCATGATTAAAAATGAACTGTGGGAAATTCGCGATGGACCGGTACGCGTCTCCATAATGACCAATTAGTGTGGATTTGCAAATAGCGATCGCTCAGCCTGCCCATCTCTGTGGTGTGTGGAATGCTCATTGGTCTTCCTGATATTTACATGGCCCATTTATTTTCAGCCTCCAAGTCCCCATATCAACAGGCTACCAGGACTGGCCACATTTCTGTTCTCTGATCTCTGCTCAAAGCATGTAGCTCTGAACATCCGCAGAGGAGGAAGAAGAGGAGGACTCCTTTGGTGTAGAGCTTTGTAGATGGTGGCATGCTGACACTCGGGGAAGTTCTGTGCAGTGGAGAGAAAAGTTTGTTTACCTCCATTCACAGATAATTCGTAAACTGGAATACAGAGTTGAAAAATAGTTGCCTAAAATCAGGCAGCTAAGAAACGCCAAGGCTGATATTTGAGTTTTCCCTTTGAAAACGAAATGGTATCACATACAGGATTATGTAATCCACTGGACAGGAAGGAAAGGATAGAGCTACGTGAACTTGGGCTCAGGATTCCTTCTGTCGTGTGTCCATGGCTACACGGACTGTGTCTAACCTCCCGTACTGATGGACCATTTACTTCATTTCTGTATTTTTCGTGCTTCTCTCCTGGAACTCTTCACCCAACTCTATGGAATAGGTTCAATTGTCCCCATTCTACAGGTAAGGCAGCCCAGGCTTAGGGAGGCTAAATAACTCCAGAGCATGTGGCTGTTGTGCCAGATCCGGGATTAAAATCCAGAACTCAGTCCACAGCTGCCAGTCTTTCTCCTGTGTTACATCTCCCTCTCTGTGGCTTGCCTAAGCTGAAATACCAACTTTAATTCTAGCTAGACAAGGGTCCTCTAAGCTCTCTCCTTTTCTGGCTGTTCCTGAAGAACAAATGAATAAAGCGTGAACCCTGGATTTAGAAACCCGCTAAGAATGGTGCTTCCTGCTGTGGATAAAAGGGACCCATTCCAAGGTGGTTTGGGATGGCTCTGTCTCTGCCATCCTGGGATCAGGTTCTAAACTAGGCGGCCATCATTCTAGAGGGTTTGCTTTAAATCAGCAAAACATCCCTTGCCAGTTTTCAGACAAGGCCCTGCAGGTCTCCCAGCCTTTCATCTTGCCCCATTTGGCCCAGAAAGTCACCCTCTTGCCCCCGCCCAGGGGCAGATGATCCTGAGCTCATGAAGGGAAGCAGCTGAGCCAGTGGCTGTTTCATGATCCGCCTGTCCAGCGGGGAGCCCTAATTTATCTCCTTTTCTCTTAGACCTGATGCCTGCTCGTTACCCACATCAGAAAGCTCATGAAGTGGGATTCAGGACTGTGGTTACAGAAAATATTGATGGTTGACTCTGAAAATTGGCTTCCTACTCCTCCTTAATTGCCTTTGTGGAGTGTGGAGGCTGTTC